CGGAATACAGTGCAATTTTACTAGTATACAGTGCAATTTTACGGAATACAGTGCAATTTTACTAGTATACAGTGGAATTTTACGGAATACAGTACAATCGCATTTAGTATACAGTGCAATTTTACGGAATACAGTACAATTTTACTAGTATACAGTGGAATTTTACGGAATACAGTACAATCGCATTAGTATACATTTCAATTTTACGGAATACAGTGCAATTTTACTAGTATACATTTCAATTTTACGGAATACAGTGCAATTTTACTAGTATATCGTATATCAATGAAAAGTGCGCTAGAGAATTACTTTTACTTCGTACAAGTGAAAAAAAATGAGTTAACACCCCTCTAACTCATTTTTTCACTAGTATTATATTTAAATTGAACATCTTACTAGGGAAGATAATGACTGTTTCTTCGCCGATCGTTAACTGAAAGTCTGTGCCGATTTTTTTCCACAGAAAAGGCGAGATCGATGCTTTCTTCGCCGGGTCCAATCTGTTGGAGTATCACATCGCTAACGACCCTGAGTGTGAGATAGTCAAAGTCGGGAATGTGGCCGCCGCGGAGGGATACGCCTTTGGGGTCCGAAAAGGTGAGCAGGCGAAGCGAAACATGATTGGGCAAAAGTTAGCCTTACTGACATCAATAGTGCAATAGTTAAGAGATTGCGCAAGGTAATTTCTTCATTGATATTTGATTCATCATGTTCTGATCCTCTCTATTGAACCTCTGCATCATGCATCACATACGTTTGGCACTACATGTATAAGATGCATAGCTCAACAACAAAGATCATTTCTCTATTCATTATATGGTATTTTGATGAAGGTTAGACATCCAGGTAAACGATACTCGTAAGAAAATTAAAACTCTACTGCTGGATCAGTTACGAATTTTTATTTATTTCCGGACGCTATGGTAATTTCTTACCATAGGAACCTTCCCTACATGACAAAACCTCTTATAATTACGGTTGTTGAACAGGTTTTTCTAGTTCTAATTACCTGTATATTGAGTGAACCGTTCTTTTACATGATAAAGCTTCTTACGGATCTTGTTGTTTAACCGGTTTTTCTAGTTACTTGTGTATAAGGCCACACCAAGTAAATTTTATGGATGACGTCCTTTGGAGACCCTAAATCTAATGCGAGAGGGCTAAAAAAAAACAAGAAGGGCCCTAAAAACAAGATGCCTAGATTAGAAATATACTAACCGACGACAAATGTTAGGACACAAATTGAATGAGGTGACACAGTGTAACAAGCAAGAAGTCTTTTATTCATCATTAAAACAGCAATAAATCAGGTGGAACAGTGGACAGTGAAAAATTTTCTGTTATTGACAGGATGGTCCTGTCAATAGACACTTTCTTCGCGTTACGGGTTTCACGTCAATCTGACCATTTGCGGCACTGTCGTGACTCTATGGTCATAGTTACAGGAAGCAGAATTTCTTGTTTTTTTTCTAGGAACAGGCCAAAATCAATGCGCGCGTGGACGTCATCCATAAAATTTACTTGGTGTGGCCTAAGAGTGAATCGGTTCTCTGTTCATTTGTGACGCTGAAGAAGAGTGATGGATGTCACTCGAAACGTCCGGAAATAAATAAAAATCCGTAACTGATCCAGTAGTAGAGTTTGAATTTTCTTACGATTATATGGTTTGTTTGTTTGTTTGTTTATTGGGAATCTCCATTAGTTATACAAGCTGTGTATACTAATCTTCCTGGAGTCCTTTCACATAATAGAATACATACAATTATCAACTTAATAGTTACAAAAGATTCAACAACATTATACATAACAATTGCTTAACAAGAACAATAAAAATTACTAAGTAACAGTAACTACTTATTAAATTTAATTATACTTCTAACAACAGCAAATATACAAGTTTTGTATTGTTAAGTCTTTCCACAACATTTGATACTTAAAGTTCAGTACAGAAATGCTAGTTATGTTAACCTTTGCAGAAGGAAAACATTATTTTTTTGCTCCGTTTCTTCTTCTTCTTCTTCTTCTGTTCCAAACAGATAAAGTGAATGACCTGGACCAGACGTCTGTCACCATGGTAACTTGTGCTGTAGCAACACCCTGTGGTGTTGGGTTACATTATGTAACAGAACAGAGCTGGCGACTTTTTGAGTAAGAATAATCGGTGCGGTAGTTTGTTATGCTAGACCAGGTGAAGGTAAACATTATGCATTTGCTTTGCAAATGTTACCTATCTAGTTCCCTAATGTTTTCTGTGATTTAGGCCACACCAATTCAATTTGTTAGTTTTCGGATTTTTCCAGAAAAAAATATGAAGCGACTGGGTGAAAAAAAAATAAAAACAGAGTTAGGCACCCTGTTATAGCCCCAAACGCAATGATAGGAGCCATGGAGTCAAGACAAAGGGCTGGGTTAATATTTAAACAATGAATGAATTTTGAACTTTTTATCAAACCACTGCATTGATAAATGGGAAAACTGTAAAAACTAGAAAGCAAAATATGAGTATTTTTGAGCTAATTAAAAAAATTTATTGTTTTGCAAATTAGAAAAGTATGAAGAGGCGAAACCGAGAACCAACAAATTAATTTGGTGTGGCCTTAGTACTTTGATGATGTTTGGTGTCACCTTTCCCCAGGCTCTGCCCTGAAGGACCCTGTGTCGTCCCTGATCCTGCACTACTCCAGTAACGGTTATCTGGACGAGCTGACACAGAAGTGGTACTCTACAGGGAGCTGCCACAAGAAGAAGCGGGATCCAAACGTACGTACACGTCCATCCTTTTTCATTCATTCATTCATTTTATTCAACCAGAGTAATACACTCAGGTCTAAATGAGCTGATTTTCAGGTATCCCTGGGGTTACATATATAAAATACACAATATACATGGGAAAATAAGAATACACAATAAGAATATACATTACAATTTCAATTCAACATACATACCAATCGTAAAAATATATGCCACTAGCACTCAAGTCCCACTCACAGAGAGTCTTTGAAAGATGTTAAAGTTGAGGCCACAACTAACTAAGGCCACACTGATTGAATTTTGTGGGCCCAGTGTGCTATGGGTCTGGCATCCAGGCTATCGTAATGCTAGATCAAAGTCTTGAAATTTAAATCTTGTTTGGAGTTAAAACTTTAGATCCAACACAAAAAAGTTCTCTCACCTAGAGCTTTCGACCAGTTACTCTGGTCTTACTCAGCAGGCTGACCCAGTGAGGCTTGTCACGTGGCTTCTTTGAAGTGTGACGTCAACATTGGGTCAAAGGTATCTGGTAGACGATGTCAGCCCCCGTCGCGGTTCATGTTATTTACCAAGAAGCTTAAGAGAGAAAGTTTAAAAAGCTCGTTTCTTGTTTGTTTCTTGTAGGAAGAAAAGCGCCAGCTGGGGGTTAAGCACGCAGAGGGTTTGGCCCTTTTCATGATCGGTGGGATCGGCCTGTCTATGATCGTACTGGTGTTGGAGTACGCCGTCTACTTCTGCGTCCTGCCCTGCCTGAAGAGACGGAGATGTAAGAGGTGGATGCCCGTCAGCCAGGTAAGAACGTCTGTGATTGGTCTATCAGTCAGCCAGGTTAGTTATAACGTCTGTGATTGGTCTATCAGTCTGTCAGGTTAGAACGTCTGTGATTGGTCTATCAGTCAGCCAGGTTAGAACGTCTGTGATTGGTCTATCAGTCAGCCAGGTTAGAAGGTTTGTGATTGGTCTATCAGTCAGCCAGGTTAGAAGGTTTGTGATTGGTCTATCAGTCAGCCAGGTTAGAAGGTTTGTGATTGGTCTATCAGTAAGTCAGTTTAAAGCGTTTGTGATTCGTCTATCAGTCTGCTAGGTAAGAACGTTTGTGATTGGTCCATCAGTCAGTCATATTAGAACGTTTCTGATTGGTCTATCAGTCAGTCAGTCAGGCTAGAACGTTTGTGATGTTTTATTAGTCAATCAGTCAGAAGGTTTGTGATTGGTCTATATCAGTCAGCCAGGTGAGAACGTCTGTGATTGGTCTATCAGTCAGCCAAACTAGAACGTTTGTGATTGGTTTATTAGTCAGTCAGGTTAGAACGTTTGTAATTGGTCTATTAGTCAGCCAGGCTAGAACGTCTGTGATTGGTCTATCAGTCAGCCAGGTTAAAATGTTTGTGATTTTCTATTAGTCAGTCAGTCAGTCAGAAGGTCTGTGATTGGTCTATCAGTCCGTCAGGTTAAAACGTTTTTGATTGGTCTATCAGTCAGCCAGGTAAGAACGTCTGTGATTGGTCTATCAGTAAGGTTTGAACGTTTCTGATTGGTAAATATATTCAATACACTAGTAGTATTTTGGCTACGCCTCAGGAGTGGAGTCAACAGTACACTATTGTGTTTTGCTTCCTCAGAGACTCCATCGCGCGGTGAACAAGGACGACTTGGCGGGGCCAAAGTCTGCTCTTAAAGAAATGGCCAACATCGTGAAGAGGGGCCAGTTTTACCTCATGTTCGAGAAGGACACTTTAGTGAGTATTTCTTTGTCTTGTGGAGTTAGCAATTCCCCGCTTAAAGTGTGTCAGAGTACTGTACAATATTTCAATCTAAAGTACATTTACAGCGATTTAGATACCCCCCATAACCCCACATTAAACAACAAGACCATAGCATGTTCAGGACAAAAGATACAAAAACCGGAAGTTCTGCTGCAGTACCAAGGTCATCCACCAGGAGGCCCATATTTGACAGAAAAGGCTACCGAAATGGATATGGGCACCACCCTACGCTCTGCATAGGGGCACGGGAGACCTTTCCTTTTCCTTTCCAACATGAAACTGATGTTTCTGTATTTTTGCAGATCAAACTCAGGCAGCAGCGAGCTCCCTCCTTCGCGCCTCAAAACCAAAACCAACAGTAAGTATCAATGGTTGGACGATTATCAATGAATTTTTTTTTATTTTTTCAAACAGAAAATTACGACTGTTTGTTTGTCCGTTTGTTTGTTTGTTTGTTTGTTTGTTTGTTTGTTTGGGCCATTATTTATACTCCATAATATATGTACATATGTGTTACCCCATACGCTTTTCGTGGGGGTCGAGTTGGGAGGAGAGTCCATGGGTCATAATATTAATAATGATAACTATGATAATAATAATAGTACAAACATTTGTTGAATTAACAAAAACAATAATACAAATCATGAATAAACGAATACATAAATAAATAAATAAATTATTTGTCACTTTATTCTTATAACATAATTCGTGATGCTACATACAATAGTTAAGCAAATTTTAAGCTGAAGATTAAATAAAACTTTCTATCCCAACACGCAATGTCATTTCCAACAAAAACTAAATGGATTCGATAACTAAATATTTTGGCGACGCCTCAGGGACGGCGCTGACTAGTACCTTCTACCGATTGAGTACAAATAGCTCGTATACTAAAGTCTAATCTCCATATCTGCACATGTCTCCCATGCAGAACCCAGAGGCGGGACGTCAGCGTCCAGACGCCTGCCAAGGTGGAGTGTTTTGATGTCCGGACGTACTCAACGGAACGGAAGATCTTTCCGGACGCCTGTTCGGACGGTTCCGGATCCTACGACATGTCTACGTCGGACGAGGAAAAGAACATGGAGTCCAAGAAAATTTCCGCTGCGGACATGGGCGATTCCAAGGGGACGAGGCTCGACTTTAGCGTCGGGCATGACGTTTTCCCGACGGCCATGCTACACCACGATGGCTGCGGGACGCTACACAAGTGTTACACTCCGGGCGGAGACCTCAAACTCACCCCAAACGGAAACATCTTTGCGCGGAGTCCTCAGTACGAGAAACAACCCTCCCTCGCCACCGACGCAAGAAGGCCCATTTATGCTAAGATCCTCCCCACCCTAAGAGGCAGCCTGTCGAAGTCTTCCGAAAATGTGACTCTAGAGAATGTCGATACCCAGTGGAATCAGTTCTCGTTTCCAGACAGGCAAACCGAAAATACAAACCCTCCCGCCAACCCCTCAACCAACTCCCTGAGACCACCCGAACTGCAGCCGCTAGGGGCCGCTTGTGCACACTCGCCGCCGCACACGGCGCCCGAGTCGTCCGAGACAGGCGGGGCGAAGTTCACGTTCGACGCGCGGGAGCTGTGTTCTCTGGACGACGACCCCATGCCCACCACAGACATCATGCTGAGATGGCAGAGCGCCGAGCTGCAGCTTCGAACCGCGCTCAGAGAAAACGTCACGCTAAAGAGAAAACTGAGACAAGCGCGACATTCGGTGCACAACTGCCCACACTCAACGACTCTCTGGTAGCAAAAACAGCCGGAGATATTCGTGGTTCTAATGCTTTACTGTGAAACTGCGTCGTCTCTTTGACTTCCATCGTTTTCAGGCAGTGCACAAGTACATTGTGTAAATACTTGGACCATCCGTTTGACTTTCACGATCTATACCTCTTGTCAGAGTTTGTATATCTGCTAAACTCCGAAGGTAGAAAGAAAATACATACAGTTAACAACAACATTATTCATAAGGCCATGTTGATTTGATTATATGGATGACATCCTCCGGGAGCCCCAAAACTGATGCGCGCGTGCGAATAAAAAAAAAGTTTTGCAAAAAAAAGTTGTTTTCATTATGAAATCTACGTGGTCATGAGGGTTGAACAAATGGAACAGAATATGGTTTGGCGAATAATCTAGTCTTCAAGTTCATTTCCTTACAATTTCGTCTTTTTTCGTTTGATTTTGGCATTCTACGACTGTGGTATAGTTTTTACTTATTTTTTGTAACTTACGGTATATTTTTGCTCATTTTGCAACTGTTTTGTACGATTTACAGTATGGTTGAAAACTTTTTTTTTTTGAAACGGCCGAAAATTCATGCGCGCGCGGATGTCATCCATATAATCAAATCAACATGGCCTAACCCTTGTAATCATAATTGATCCTAGCCTGGCAAAGGTGATTAATAATTTTCTTGTTAACTGTACATAAATTTCACAATGGATTCTGTGGAGACGAAATATCTAGAGACTGGAATTTCGCTTAGAATTCTAGGTCTACAGTATACGAGGAATATAGTTTTTAGGAGTTTGTCAATCGAAGTGGAAAGAAGGGAACAGTTCCTAAACTAGGTATTCCTGTAGCCAAGCTCAGTTTTTGTGAAAAAGTGATTTTTCAGGTTAAGAAATGCGATACTTTAGTATTACAAAAACTAGTTGGGAGCTGAATCGAATAGGAGACATAGATTTTTTTAGAAGTCAGTGGTACAAACCAAATACACGTACGCACGAAAGGTAGCCGACATTTTCTCGTCTTCTGGAAATTTGACCTGATTTTTTTTTTATCTACGTATTGTCTATCTCAGTGAGCGACGGAACAAGAAGATTTGCGAATGTACATTTCTGTCTCAAGATGAGTTCTGATCTAGTTAGTGAATAACCCAATAAGATTTCATATTTCAAAGTTTTAGATAGATTGGATGAACGATGAAAAGGGAGTTTTTTACAACTTAGAACTTTTCGAGATGCTATGATGATGAAGACCAGTGATAGGTAGTTTCACGTAGTATGATTGCCTGTTGTTGGTTTTGAATGAGAAAGTTGTTGCAAACAAAGGAACAGAAACAAGACCAGAGACG